GCTACCCCTTCCGAGGGTCCTAAGCAATTCTTCTTTTGGCCAGTAACTGCTTGCATTAAAAGGTATACTTGTTATTAATTCCAACTTGATATCTCATTTTTAAGTGCGTCAAATTTTTTATTTTTTGAAATAGGGGTGGGATTGCTACCCCTTCCGAGGGTCCTAAGCGATTCTTTTTTTGACCAGTAACTGCTTGCATTAAAAGGTATACTTGTTATTAATTCCAATTTGATATCTCATTTTTTAGTGGGTCAAATATTTATTTTTTAAATTGGGGTATGATTGCTACCCTTTCCGAGGGTCCTAAGCGATTCTTCTTTTGGCCAGTAACTGCTTGCATTAAAATGTATACTTGGTATTAATCCCAACTTGATATCTCATTTTTAAGTGCGTCAAATATTTATTTTTTGAAATGGGGGTGGGATTGCTACCCCTTTCGAGGGTCCTAAGCGATTCTTCTTTTGGCCAATAACTGCTTGCATTAAAAGATATACTTGTTATTAATTCCAACTTGATATCTCATTTTTAAGTGCGTCAAATATTTATTTTTTGAAATAGGGGTGGGATTGCTACCCTTTCCGAGGGTCCTAAGCAATTCTTCTTTTGGCCAGTAACTGCTCGCATTAAAAGGTATACTTGTTATTAATTCCAACTTGATATTTCATTTTTTAGTGGGTCAAATATTTATTTTTTAAATGGGGGTGGGATTGCTACCCTTTCCGAGGGTACTCAGCGATTGGCCAGTAACTGCTTGCATTAAAAGGTATACTTGTTATTATTCCCAACTTGATATCTCATTTTTTAGTGCGTCAAATATTTATTTTTTAAATGGGGGTGGGATTGCTACCCTTTCCGAGGGTCCTAAGCAATTCTTCTTTTGGCCAGTAACTGCTTGCATTAAAAGGTATACTTGTTATTAATTCCAACTTGATATCTCATTTTTTAGTGGGTCAAATATTTATTTTTTAAATGGGGGTGGGATTGCTACCCTTTCCGAGGGTCCTAAGCAATTCTTCTTGTGGCCAGTAACTGCTTGCATTAAAAGGTATACTTGTTATTATTTTCAACTTGATATCTCATTTTTTAGTGCGTCAAATATTTATTTTTTAAATTGGGGTGGGATTGCTACCCTTTCCGAGTGTTCTAAGCAATTCTTCTTTTGGCCAGTAACTGCTTGCATTAAAAGGTATACTTGTTATTAATTCCAACTTGATATCTCATTTTTTAGTGGGTCAAATATTTATTTTTTAAATGGGGGTGGGATTGCTACCCTTTCCGAGGGTCCTCAGCGATTGGCCAGTAACTGCTTGCATTAAAAGGTATACTTGTTATTATTCCCAACTTGATATCTCATTTTTTAGTGCGTCAAATATTTATTTTTTAAATGGGGGTGGGATTGCTACCCTTTCCGAGTGTTCTAAGCAATTCTTCTTTTGGCCAGTAACTGCTTGCATTAAAAGGTATACTTGTTATTAATTCCAACTTGATATCTCATTTTTTAGTGGGTCAAATATTTATTTTTTAAATGGGGGTGGGATTGCTACCCTTTCCGAGGGTCCTAAGCAATTCTTCTTGTGGCCAGTAACTGCTTGCATTAAAAGGTATACTTGTTATTATTTTCAACTTGATATCTCATTTTTTAGTGCGTCAAATATTTATTTTTTAAATTGGGGTGGGATTGCTACCCTTTCCGAGTGTTCTAAGCAATTCTTCTTTTGGCCAGTAACTGCTTGCATTAAAAGGTATACTTGTTATTAATTCCAACTTGATATCTCATTTTTTAGTGGGTCAAATATTTATTTTTTAAATGGGGGTGGGATTGCTACCCTTTCCGAGGGTCCTCAGCGATTGGCCAGTAACTGCTTGCATTAAAAGGTATACTTGTTATTATTCCCAACTTGATATCTCATTTTTTAGTGCGTCAAATATTTATTTTTTAAATGGGGGTGGGATTGCTACCCTTTCCGAGTGTTCTAAGCAATTCTTCTTTTGGCCAGTAACTGCTTGCATTAAAAGGTATACTTGTTATTAATTCCAACTTGATATCTCATTTTTAAGTGCGTCAAATATTTATTTTTTGAAGTGGGGGTGGGATTTCTACCCCTTCCGAGGGTCCTAAGCAATTCTTCTTTTGGCCAGTAACTGCTTGCATTAAAAGGTATACTTGTTATTAATTCCAACTTGATATCTCATTTTTAAGTGCGTCAAATATTTATTTTTTGAAGTGGGGGTGGGATTGCTACCCCTTCCGAGGGTCCTAAGCAATTCTTCTTTTGGCCAGTAACTGCTTGCATTAAAAGGTATACTTGTTATTAATTCCAACTTGATATCTCATTTTTAAGTACGTCAAATATTTATTTTTTGAAATAGGGGTGGGATTGCTACCCCTTCCGAGGGTCCTAAGCGATTCTCCTTTTGGCCAGTAACTGCTTGCATTAAAAGGTATACTTGGTATTAATCTCAACTTGATATCTCATTTTTAAGTGCGTCAAATATTTATTTTTTGAAATAGGGGTGGGATTGCTACCCTTTCCGAGGGTCCTAAGCGATTCTTCTTTTGACCAGTAACTGCTTGCATTAAAAGGTATACTTGTTAATAATCCCAACTTGATATCTCATTTTGTAAGTGCGTCAAATATTTATTTTTTAAATGGGGGTGGGATTGCTACCCTTTCCGAGGGTCCTAAGCGATTCTCCTTTTGGCCAGTAACTGCTTGCCTTAAAAGGTATACTTGTTATTAATTCCATCTTGATATCTCATTTTTAAGTGCGTCAAATATTTATTTTTTAAAATGGGGGTGGGATTGCTACCCCTTCCGAGGGTCCTAAGCGATTTTGCTTTTGGCCAGTATTTGCTTGCATTAAAAGGTATACTTGGTATTAATCCCAACTTGATATCTCATTTTTAAGTGTGTCAAATGTTTATTTTTTGAAATGGGGGTGTGATTGCTACCCCTTCCGAGGGTTCTAAGCGAATCTGCTTTTGGCCAGTAACTATTTGTATTAAAACTTATACGTGGTATCAATTCTGCTTTGATATTTTATTTTTAATAATAGGAATATTAAGAAATTTCATTATAAATGTATTATTTTTCATGTATTTATTTTTTTAATTTATTTATATAACGAAAATAACATTTAAAATACAAACGACCTCAGTTTTCAATTAACACAAAAAATTGAAATAAACGTACGTATTGCCCTTTTTAACGGGCCACTGTATTGTTCGGGCGTACTCGGTAAACGGGCTACCAGTTTTTGGCTACTAACTTCACACCGGTTGCTAGTCAGGCAATTAATTATATCAAACATTTATATCTACATACATACTGGAACTGTTCCCGAAGCAACGAGTGGTTTATAATTATATATAATTTCTATAAGACCTTGTAAATAACACTGGACAAACAACATCAATTATTACAACTTAATAATGCAAATGTTGAATTTATAGACGCATTTAAATAATTTATATTTAGGTAAGTAAAACGTTAGATAATGGACTTCGATTTAGTTGGTAATCATATCGATTACTTGTGGAAAGATAGAAAATAGGATTTTAAGTCACATTAAATTCACGCAGGTCCCAAAAAAAAGAACTTTGTATGTACGAAACGTCTTAGGTCTGAAAGGACCAATTGCTCGCTGATTTAATTGTGGACTAGAAATGTATCAACGTTTCATCCATGAGCATCTTCTACAAACCAAGTAGGCATCTACATATTTGGGTGTGATTAACCCCATTTATAAAACGTTTTGAGCAAATTGATTACCAAGCCTTGCAAAAAAAACAGGACTGATACCATTCCGAAACGTTGCAAAATCCCACGGTTCTATCAAGATTAATTTGGACCATCGAAACGAGCCATTTTTTTACACCGCAAAAACTTTATGCAGATTCTCAGTGTCACGCAATACCTTCCAACCGAAAGAGGTCAGTGACTGCACACAATAATCGAGCTGGCGTTGTCTGTTCGGTGTCGCCCCCTTGCGGCCATTCCGTGTACTAATGCGAACGCTCCGAAGCGAAGCAGACGCGAACGCGACGAGGCACGGCCAACTCGGATCCTTTTGATGTCTTTCTACTATGTTCGTTGCCATATTGAATTATGATTTCTATGGGCCTTTGTATACGCAGGGATTTTGCTACAATTTCGTGATAAAATTTAATGAAGTAGATAAGATTGTATTTATTATTTGAAATGGGAATAATTTGATAACAAGCGATTTTTATTTTATTTAGAATTTTTATCTTGTTTACTTTGACTCGGGTGTTATTTATTCTATAGTTATCTAACTTAATAACACTGTTATCTGTTATTTTATTAATAAATTCTGGTGGTATTTGTGCATCGTATGACCTTTTTTTTTCAAGATTATCAACTAATAAACTGCTAAATAGGTAATGATTACCAGCTAATCTCAAAGTTGATAAGAAACTACCTAATTATTATTTTTCCGAATATGATAATAATTCCGCCAATACTGAAAAATATACTTATGTACCTAATTGACCTGCCTAAAATCTCACTGCGAGTCCTACAAAATGCCTTTGTCCTAATTTTACATAGGTATTTGCACATTTGTGTCTTTTATTGGTAAAAGAAAAGTTCTCAATGACCCACCTGTATTAATCATACATATTTTCTAAATAAACGCCGGAATTAGAAAAATTAACGTATTTTAGTTCCCGAATGATATATCCGTAAAGGCACTAACAGCGGGTGCATAATTACTTGATTACATTAAATTAATTTATGACGCACAAAGAGAAAGAATCGGAACAAAGAGCTGAAGTTAAACCTCTTACACTCCACAAAGCAGCGTTCGAAATAATTGAATGGATCCTAATCCTCACGTAGCAAGATGAAACCCCTGGCATATGGCAGTGAAATCAGAATTCAAACTGCACTTTCACACAGCATACAGATAGGTATAATCCAACAAAGAGGCACTAAATAAAACACTTATTCCTCGATGATTGTTCGAAGCACACTTACCAAAAAATAAAGAAATCACTTATCCACTAATCAAAAGCACAGCACAAAGTTTCATTACAATCCATAAAAGTTATTTTCCAGTAGTTCAAATGTCCTTGAAAAGATAAAACTGCGTAGCATCCACTCACACTGAAAGCTCACAAAAGACTAACTTTGATCGGGGAAACGGCGAGCGAACGAGCCTCGACGATCGAAGCCGAAGTCTCGGCGAACGAAATACGGTTGAAAGCGACGAACAAGCAACAAGTTGACTGATATTTTTCATAGAGTGGATCTCTGGCTAGGTACGGTATATATTTTACTTTGAATAATAATGTTGTTTTGTGGAAGAACGAGTTTCAATCCTGTTTTTTTTATAGGAATTCTAAATTGATCGCGAAAAAAAAACTGTTCACCGTTCTCAGCCGCGGTCATTGACGACCAGTAGCGTACTTGGGAATAGATTTTCCGTGGGTGGAAAAATGCAATTTTTATCAGACTTCACACATCACATATTTTTAATTTTATAGATCCTACCTATTGTATTGTGTACTAAATATAAGCTCCTAAATATTTTTGACTAGCTCTTTTGTTGTCATTTGTGGTAGAAAAATAGTCCAACCGTAATTATAAATACCTACCTAGGTAAGTTTAACAACTTCACAGAATAAGTAGGTAGGTAGAAAATTAGTTTTTGTGAATTTGTGCATATCTACCTATCTACTCAGTGAATCATTATTCAATAGAGAAAATATAAGTACTTATACCTATATACCTAGAGATGATGGATGATTTCCTACTTTCAAGATGCAAGTGGTTACCGAGGAATTTACGTACCTACCTACATAAATAATTGACGTCGATAATGGTAAATGACAATGAAAACTAGTTAATTAGAATTGTTTTCTTTATAATCATCAATTACCTAAATGAGTCTATATAGGTAGGTACCCAGGTATAAACAATAAACAGGTTATTAGGATTTGGTAAAATTCTTTAACAAGGTGTCCGATTTCAATGGTTCTTTTTTTGTTAGAAAGGGGGTACTTCGGGGGTGGTCCCATATTAATTTGGTTAAAATCTAATAATTGGATCCATTAGAAAATCTTCAAACTCTTAATTTTTAATGTATGTTTAGCGGTAATTCTTTACCACCTTATCCAATTTCTATGATTCTTTTTTTGTTAGTAAAGGGCGTGATCACATATAAATTTGTTTAAGGTTTAAGATGTGGTGACGGCATCTGCACGATTTTGAAGTGGGTTTTTTAAATTACTTTTAATATTTGTCCATAATACTTACTACCTATTATTATTTATGCTTGTGAAATGTGTATCTACTCGTAACAGTGAATTTGTAATGTCCCGTTCATAAATAAATCAATCACACGAGTTTTAAACAAAACAGCAACACTTAAAATTCAAGATAACCATTTTAAATATCAAATTACGTAAAAAAGGTAATGATTCATTAACACCATGTATTGTTGTCAACATTTAAAGGGAACAGGTATAAAAAGATGTCCAAAAACAGATTTTGAGATTAATATGTCAATCCATACATAAAATTCCTTAGAATCTAGCCAGAGTCTTCGAACCAGCTAAAACCAATGCGCGTCACAGTTACAACAAATTTTAGTGTTTTAGTGTTCAAAGCAATAATGATGAATGTCCACCGACGATGTGGGGTGATCACGTGTTTTAGGGTTGCCAGATTTACGAAAATGAAAAGCGTGACAACCGTGCCGACAGAACATCAGGTTCAAATACCAAGCAAGCTTTTTTTATATAATCAGGTCCATTATTTCCGAAATTTCTAAAAAAAAGGACCTCACCTTGGATTTTTCGTAAACGAGAATCCGATATTTAATAAAATACTACGGCCTCGAATGTTTAAAAAGCGTGACATTTGCATCAAAAGAGTGACATTTGCATCAAAAGCGGGACATTTTCGTACTATGGCGTTAAGCGTACACGCAAGACAAAAAGCGTGGAAAATACGTCTAAAGTGTGTCGTCTGGCAACCCTACGTGTTTAGTACAGTACATCCACATTAAAATGACATTCACAATAAAGGGGCATAGTTACTTAGAATGTGATCATAATATGGGACTAATTACTAACCAGAAGGCTACCATAGAACTCTGTCTGAGTGAAATGAACATAATATTCGGAATGCCAGGTCAAAGCCATGTCCATTCACTAATAAACTAAGATAAACACAATATATTTCGACCCTGGACTGATCACCTTACAAAATACTTTTATAAAAAGTGTCTCAAAGAAATCACAATATTGAAAGAAATACCCAGGATGATGCAGTATTTATGAATCTCATAACGAGCCTTCACTACTTCTGTGGTAATACCACCTAAATAAAAGCAATGAAAACCTGAAATACCTGTATTGTCCAACAGGTATTGAGGTATTGAGTTACCAAATCTGAAATACCACCGAAATCTCAAAGACTTGAAAAGGTTTTGAGAAAATCCAAATGCAAGATATTATTTTTCAAACTTACCTTACAGCCAAAATGTTATAATCATAACAATCGTATTAATAAAGAATACAATTATCAACTACATATCATTAATTTTTCAGCTTCAGGCTAGCAGTTTGGATACCACCGAAGCTCACTGCGTACTCTCTTAAATCATTTTCAAAAAAATAAGAAACACAGATTGTTTATAATTTCTTTGTTTCTTTGTCACCATGTACCATTGAGATAGAACAAAGGGGAGATGCTATGACGATACAAGTGTCCGCACCTTTGCATTACACTTTTACGTTATATGCCAAACTTGAGCTAGCGAAGATAGTTTTGGTGACAATAAATACCATTTTTTTAAAAATAGCTTTATTTAAATGCTATAAAAACATTTTTAATCCATCAATCTAAATATAAAATTATTTACTTCAAATAAATCAAAGTACGACTTTAAGTCGCTATTTTGATTACACTTTTCCATCACTCGAAGTGCGTCCATCTGTCATATCGCAAAATAGTGTTTATGTGGTATCCGTACCTCACTCAAAAAGGACGTATTTCCGGATACATGTTAGCATAAGTTGTTATGCTTATTAGACTACCAAAACACCCGTATAATTTAAAAACTATTTGAATTAATTAATCATTTTAGATGTAAGATGCAAGAATCTACCTTTAGGTACAATTCGTACAATTCATTTATTAACCAACAAACTAGATATAGATAAGACATTTGTTTTAAATCTGAAAACATTCGACCATGTATCGGAAAAAATATACCTACCTATTCATGTTCTAATAAATTTATAAAATCATATTTTCTACCTTTCAATTTTATAAAATTATATACCTACGGCTTATTAATCATAAAAATTACTATCAACACTTAATATTTTGTGAAGATACCATGAGCATAAGCCCTATGGGTCTAATTACCCAATTACCCCGTCAGCTACGCACCTGCTGACGACTACGTGAAACGTGACCGTAGCCGTACAAGTTACAACAACATAACAAGATGGCGCGGGGAAATAGAGTAGACAGACAGTCGATTCGAGTCGTCTTTAATCTTTTAACTAATTGAACTACCTAGTTATTGTTAGGCATGTTATCTGTTAATTGGTTGATACATTACTGACGATAACACCGATTATTTTAAATCGTAATTAGTTGGAATTGTTTAATAATGGAAATCACTGTTAGGTTACGTGTGAAGTGTGAATTTCTGGTTTGACCTTGAGATGCCCTCTAAGCGAACGTGGTCTATTGTCTATTTTATTTTGTGTGCCGTTTGTTAGGTAGAAAGAATGGATGTACCTACATTGTGTTTTGTTCTGCTAGAAAATCAATTTATTTTTTGTGCAGGTAGATTCTGAATTCTGACTAATAAACTAGAAATGGATACACCTTTATAATAAATACCTAGGTAGATAGGTACGTTATAAAAAAGGCCTGGATATAGGTATTGTGTTTAATAATGTTACTACTTATTGTGAAAGATGTGTTTTTATCCACATTTTTATGAAAAATAAGATTACTAAATAAGGATTTGATGACTTTCCTAGTAGATACCTAGCTTGCGTGCAATAATATATTTTAGTTGCGTCTCGCTTTTTTGTCGTCTGATTTAAATATGGATGAACAATTTATATAGGTATACTTACGCGAGTTTCTGATTAAACATTTTATGAGTATTTCCAGGTAAGTACCCGAAAATTTGACCTGTTCTTTGGGGAAATATCAACTGCTTAAATGAAATGAAAAACAATGTACAACTTTTTAATTAAATAATAATGGAGAATCTTTCGTATAATTGAGAGCAGAATTAAACTTCTTAATTAATGGAGTCTAATAATAATTTTATATTACACTTCACACAGAAAATATGGTCTATGTATAATAAGAGGGTTATTTAGCTCAAATAAAATATTTTCTAACATAAAAATTTGTTCCATGTAGAGAATTTCAAATGAAAAATAAAAAAATTGAACTTGCCAACAAAAATGAAAATCAGTCATTATCATCCAAAATATCATAAATCGTCATCATCACTGTCATCACCATTAATTGTTATTATAATTGGACTTATTTCGTTTATTTTATTTTCACGAGTCCACCAATCTTCTATTAGTTTCTCGCACTTGGATATACAGTTCCGCCACACTTCTGGAGTTGCAATTGAAAGTGCTTTTCGTCAAGTTTCCCGAACTGCGTTGTCACTATAACCATTAGGCCCAATATGGTTATCATAATATTGTTTTGCTATTCCCCATTTATATTCGATGGGATTAAACTGGCAATGATACGGTGGCAGACGTGAAACTTGATGACCGTAACTTTTAATAATCTGATCCACAACAAAGGTTTTTGGTTTTGCGTGTATATTTGCCAAGCGTAATAATTCTGATTTTAATATATATTGAGGAAATGGTATATGTTCCTTTGTCAACCATTCTTTAATTTTATCAATAGTCCAAGAATTCGTTGGACTTTTGTTTAATACTTCAGAATGGTAAGGTGCATTGTCTAAAATAATTACGCTGGGCTCACTTAAACCTGGGAGAAGTTTTTCATGCAACCATTTTACAAACATTTCTGTGTTCATATTATCGTGATAGTCACTGGATTTTGATTTAGATGAAAATATTAAATCAGCACCTTCTATAAAACCCGATTTCCCTCCTGCATGTAAAATTATGTGTCGCTTCCCTTCTCCATCGGTATGTTTGATGGACTTACGTTATCATCTTGCCATATTCTCTTG